TAATTTTTGACATCTGATATGATATCCTCAAATAATTATGAGCAATGAAATTCCCATTCAAGACAGTTATATAAAGATGATCTTCTTCAATACTCAATGGACACCAGTTTCCTAGTTTATGAGGTTCTTCTAAAGTGTTACATAGTTCTCAATATGGCCTAAAAATAAAAGGGTCTTCACTTACCAAAATGCCGATGTGGGATATGGAAACACTTTAATATCTTGAAAACCACTGTCCACAACTAATTTCTTCCTGTTTTTCCTAGTTCTAACATTTTCCAATAAAGAAAAAAAAAAGAGAGGTGATAACCATGTAAAGAGGTTGTAGGCAAGAGAACTCTGAAGCCAAAACAAAATGGAGGAAGCGAAAGTGAAAACAAAACTTATGCCTAATATAAAAAAATGAAAAAGAAGTTTCTCTAGACAGCAGAGGTATGGTATATTAGGCATACAAGGAATAGTGATGAGTTCCCAAGGAATTGTTATTGGGAAGGTTTGTGAAAAGTGGCGAGTTCCATATTGTTATTTTGAAGATTTGCATCAAAGTTATCAGTTTGACTTTGCCTTCTGTTGATACCCTGTATTAGCTGAACTGGCAATGATATCTGATATGCCATACCTCTACTGATTGTTGTTCTGTAATTGGCTTTTCTGAAGTACTTGATGCTTCAGAAGCAGTTTGTTTTTTCTTTATTTCACGAGCATGCTAGTGGCATATATAAGATTATCATTGTGCAATATAGCTTACCCTGGAGGTCCTTGTCTCTCTGAAGGTGTCTCTTTCGCAATCTTCTATACTCTCTTGTACGGGGATGGCACCCGCTTGATGTGTTGTTTATAATATTATATTTTTCTTAAAAAAAGTGGTGGTCTTGTGATTCTTTATGAAGATTACATTATTAGTTTGCAGATTCTGTGCATTATTTGTTTGCAAATTTGGAACACGTAACGGATAGCTTATAACTGACTTCTTTACTTGGCAGGAACATTTGTTAATAGTATGTGAACTTCTGAAGGCAAATTTGTATGAGTTTCATAGATTCAATAGAGAATCAGGGGGAGAGGTTTATTTCACAATGCCAAGATTGCAGGTTTGTATGCTAATCACACTTGTTGTGCATACATTTTTTCTTTAATCTCGATAGATTCTAATTTTCCCCTTTTAATTGTCCTGTCCAGTCAATCACTATCCATTGCTTGGAGGCACTCCAATTTTTGCATGGCCTTGGCCTCATACATTGTGATCTCAAACCTGAAAATATATTAGTCAAAAGCTATAGCAGATGTGAAGTCAAGGTCATTGATCTGGGGAGTATCTGTTTTGAGACAGATCATCTGTGCTCCTATGTGCAATCCACGTCCTACCGTGCCCCAAAGGTTATTGTGGGACTTCCATATGATAAGAAGATAGACGTTTGGTCACTGGGCTGTATCTTAGCAGAGCTCTGTACTGGGAATGTAAGTTGTATCTTTCCATGTTATTTACTATTTATTTCTTAACATCTTAAGCATGATTGTTAACATGAAAGAGGTGATTCTTCAATTTATTCATCTCTTAGGAAATGTTAGAAGTTCTTTTCGTTTATTAAAAAGACTCTTCTAATTTTGAAGGAATCTTGGAGGCAAGAAGTTAGAGATCAAGGGAAGTATTGGGGTTTAATTTCAGACCAAATATTCATAAACTTCCTAATTGAATTAATATGTTTGTTACCTATTATTAGATTCTATACCTTGTCTTACTGAGCCTTATCTATCATTTATTACCCATCAACCACATGTAGATAGTGGGATTGTTGGGACTTAGGATCCTGAAAAGGTTAGATGTTTAGGACCTTCCATGGGTTTAACTCTGGAGACAAGGGGAGTCTTGGGTGCTGTCTTACACAGAACATAACTATTTATGAAGTTCCCTTGCAGTTTCATCTATAAGATTCACCACTGAGTCATGTCACTAGGTTGAACTAGTTTTACTTGGGATGATCTGCTATCATATATTTAATGAGATACTTTGATTTATCTTTCTGTTGTGACACGTATTAGGTAAATTTTTTTGATAAACCTAGCGGATACATGACCTTGGCGGAGAGAAGGGCAGGATATGTTGGTATTTTGTTTCTTCCTGTGTCCACGATCCTGACTTGTCCTTGTCATGAGGAATTTGATATCCGTTCTTTTACTTCATCATGGCATTGAATAAGATGTACATGGATTTGGAGGAAAGAAGGTTTAATACTTGAAGCAATAGTTCTCTCTTTTCAGCTAGTTATCCAAATGTTTTCGTACTTACCTACATGTTTGCATTATATAGTCTTGTATCACTTTAGAAAGTTGCCTGTAATCAAGATCCTAAGAGCTTCATCTCATAATTGATATATTATACTTTGTAAAGAAGTTGAGGATACCGAACATGAGAATGCCTCATCGAATAAGGTAAAAAAATTTTTGTGGATGAGTCTTCCAACAAATCAAAAATTGTAAAAGTTAATAAGATTTAAAAGGTGAACCTCATTTTGTCTTCGTTTATGGAGGATTCATTTATGTGGAAATAAGATTGGTGTAGAATGGACATGGACTTGTTCTGTAAATAAGTCGGGAATTATATTTATTAATATTCTACAATTTACTGTAATGGGATAGATCATATTAGATCTTTAATAGCTTTAGTATTTCATGTAGAGTTTTGAGTTCTAAGTTTTCTATTATGAATTCTGTAGTCGTAGTTAGATTATATTTTGTATTAGAACATTATGAGTACCTTTGTAATCTCACTTTTGAGATCAGCTTTTTATTGAATAATTATCATGGGAGTTTTCTCAATGTCTTAGTCCTGTGAGATTGGGTCTTAAGTGCGATACTTAAGGAACCACCTTAAGTGCAGTCTTTAAGGGATCCCAGGTGAGACTTCAGTTTTATAACCGATTGAGAAGTTTTGAACTTATCCCGAATTCCCACATAGACAAATTAATCATAATTTGTCTTACATCAACTTATGCTAGAGAAAAAAAGAAAAATCTCCAAAATATGTTCAGTAATATTATCAATATGAAGTCCATCTACGGATCTACTTGCACCTTTCCCGTCCTCGTCGTTCCTAGTCTAATTTTTCATGGGAATAAGTCTAGAATATTAATGCATCATGTGAAATTTTCTCAGCATGGAAAGATGTGGTAGGGCAGATTTTTGCTGTTGACAATCTTCTGAAGAGAGGGAAATTTTCAGGTAATGGATGGTATCTGAGTAAAGGACAGCTGAGGCTATGATCATTTACTTTTTTGCTGCCCTCTTTTATTGTCTTTGGTGCATGGCTCTTGGCTTTCTCAACTTGATTGGGTTGTTGTTTTGTTCAAGATGAGTAATGGGCTTGGTAAGAGATCTCAAGTGATAAGAGGAAGAAGTTTTTTTCATTTTAGACAGTTAGGCTCTTGGCTCTAGAAGTTGTGTCTTTCTTTTAATGGTTGGAAGGCTTTACAGATATTTTGATTGAGTTATAGATTTTCTCTTTTTACATGAGTGCTACCACCTTGGTGTCTTGTTTATAATATTTCATATTGTTGTGGTGTGTAAACCTCATAACGCACTTCCATGTGAAACAGAAAAGGGGGGTGGGATGCAGGGTGTTTTCTTGATCTAAGTTATCCTCGGAGAGGTTGGATTTGTGGTGATTGAGCGGAAAAGGTTTCAAAGTGGACTTAGCTTAGCTCAGGGAATTGTACAGACTCCACTAGTGGTGGTTTTGTAGATCCTGCGAGAGTTGGGGACATGTAATGTGATAGGAGTAAAGTTAGGGAGATATAGTGCTCATCTAATAGATCTGGGGATGTCAGCTCGTATCATCATATCCTAGATCAAGGGAGAGCAACATGGGTGTTGACATCTGTGCTGACTACTTCATAGAGTGGTTGGTATATGCAACATGTGGAGGATAGGCAAGCTGTTCACCAAGCTAGTGGTTGGTATAATCACATCCCAATAACCCTTCGAATGGAATTGGTTATAAGATCGGATATGCGAGCACCAAGCTGTGGCAAGGTTGGTGCTGTCTCTTAATTGGAGGGTCTACTCCTAAAGGCACAAGCATATGCAAAGTAGTCCTGCCACTATTCTCTTTTTAAATCAGCTAGATCCCCATGGGGTAGGGATCAAGGCAGGGATCAGGTTGACATTTCCCAATGAACAAGTTTGTGTTGACAGTTGAAGATCTTGCTGATGCATGGGGTTGGGCTTAGCAACCTACCTCGTATTTTCCTTCAAAAAATATTTAGTAATCATCAGGGACTAAAAGACCATGACATATGTCCCTGGAGCTGGTGGAAACAATAAAACGATTGAATCAGTTTCTTGAAGTTATGTTTAGCAAACAATTAAGTTCTTAATATTTCATAAACTACAAAATCCATTGTTATTCCTTTGGCATCACTATTTTCAATAGTTTTCTAAGAGTACTTGTTGATTTGAACTATTATTTTGTTTGTCACATGCAGGGTGCAAAAAATGTTTATCTTTTAAGTTATTTGTGTGGTTGGTTTGTGATAAGTCTCTATCAAATATTTGGTATTGATTTGTTCATTTACAACTTTGCCTTGGTGTAGGTTCTGTTTCAAAATGATTCGCCTGCAACATTGCTTGCAAGGGTTATTGGGATTATAGGTCCCATTGATCAAGGAATGCTTGCCAAAGGTCGGGATACATACAAATACTTCACCAAAAATCATATGCTTTATGAACGGAATCAGGTAAGTCTTAACTATCCCCCTTTCTTTTCTCTTCAGAAAAGAACACTAGCCAATCTACTCTTCTTTTCTTCTCCACCCAAGATAACAAAAAAGGGAAGAAAAGGCTGAAAAAGGTAGCGTATTTTTCTCACAAACTAGATATATTGTCTTTTTCTGAACATGTGTTTGGAGTGATAGATCCCACCCGGTACCTTGGAGAGGCAAACAATTTTCTCCCACCTTATCTGTAGGAAAAGTTTTCGTCCCACCACTTGCCCTAATTTTATTTAATTATTAAAATTATTTTGAACAACTTAGATATAAAAGTATAAAGTTAACAAAATACCAACGAGTACTAAACATGAAAGATATATATATATATATATAAATTGTATTTAAAGTAATACGAGAAAATAAGTATGATAATTGACATTAAAAGTGTGAAAAAAATATGAAAAATATTCAGCGGACAGATATGGCTGTGCAGGTGGGATGTTTCTCCCATACTCGCCACATCACTCTGACTGGCTAAAAAGATTCTTTTTCATTTCTGTTTCCACGATTCGAATATTTTTGTCCATTTATCCATCTATATTTCCACCAATCGCCACACCTTTCTGATTGGCCAAAAAGATTTCTGAGTGAGAAGAAGAGGTAACCGAGTTATGCAAGCAATTGCCACTACTGACCTGAATGATTGTAGATTTTACGATAAAGGGATAATTTATTCTTTCATTGGGCTCAATTGACTCGACTGTCAAATTATTATTGATCTGATATACTTTAGTGTGAGATAGTGGTACAAATTATTTGGTGCAAATAATAAAAAGAAACCGTGCTAATCAATTCACTTTGATCTAAGTACTAGTTTAATTGAATTAAACTTTGTGGCTTGGTTTCTAAAATTCCAAAACCATACCAAATTAAAGTACATACTATATTAATAAATATCTGTAATACATAATAAAGATGCTATATTTTAGATAGTTACAGTGTATAAATTTTATATTATAATATTTTTTATGTTCATAATAATAATTTTGTTTAGAAGTAAAATTTAATATACTAAAAAGGACAAGATAAGTAGGTAAGATTTATGATTCTTTATTATTACCCAAAACATTTGAGCTCAAACTTGGACCAAAGCTAATCTCAGTGGATAGTTTTTGGTTTATATGCTAATTTAATTATGTTTTTCTTTCAAAAATTTTAGTTCATTTGGGTTTCTAACTTTAAAATAGAAAATCTTTAGTTTGATTTAGATATAGGGAAAAATATAGTTTAAGATGCCTGGGTTTTACCTTATTCAAATTCAAGTACTGTTAATTTCTTTTTGAGTATGCAATCCGTATAATTTGATCGTTGTCATTTTTGTGCAATTATTAGCTTTTTTAAAGTTTGGATGCACAGATTTCCTCTAAAAAATGATGTTTAGTTGTTGGAAACAGTTACTGTTTTCTGATCCATTCTCTTTAAAAATAATGGACCAGGAAATGCATTTGGTTGGTAATAGAGAATTGTTTCTGAAAATGAAATTGCTATAGAACTTGAAAACAAAAAAAAAAAAAAAAAGAGATAGGGTCTCTGTCTTTTTTTATGGCCCCCCTAGGACTTTTAAACTTTGAACCTCCAGCCTCTTGGCAATGAAGGGGGGAAATGACCAACTCACCTTTGGTGAATTGGTAAAGAGGGGCTTTGTTGGGTACATGGAAACATTTTCTAGTTATATTTTTTAAAATTAATATGTATTTCATTCATAAAACCATGTTAATTAGTTAACATGGAAGAAAATGATTGTCAAAATAATAATGAGCTGGAAATTTTAGCATTTCTTAGAAAACTGTTTTGTTTGTATCTTGATTATTCCTCGATATATGTAACTTGTATATATTTTTATGAATAAAATATGCATTAGTGCATATGAATTTAGAAAATGAAAACTAGAAAAAACTTTCATGTTTTTTATTTTTAGAAAACAATTTTTCTTTTCTTAACTACCAAATATGTTTCTCAAAAATTGTTTTCAATTTCATTTTTAGAAAATGAAAACTAATTTTTATTTTGGTTTCTTGAAAATGAAAAACTGGTAAATGTTTTCACGAACTGAACACAAACAATTCTAATATAAAATTACCCAAAGCCAACTCACATGCATTAAATTATTGATAAAAAATCTCAAGGTTTACATTAGAATAACTTCATAGGATAAAATTATAATCTCCTTTAGACTTATTCTTTTAACTGAATGAAACCGAGTTGATTTTGCTAGTGATGTTTCAGCAGAATCGGATCTATTATTCAAGATCTGAGGTTTCAGCTCCTTTTCTTTTTTTCTGCCCCTTTGTGGTAGAGAACTCTGTAGCTTGTATTTTTTTTATAACGTGCTGATATCTTTCAAATGTCATATTATCATTAATATATCTTTTTTTTATTTTAAAAAAGTTAATTTAACTGCTGTTTTTGGCACTCATATTAAAGCTGTCTTCGAATTATTTTATCTATCCTTCAGGAAACTAACAGACTGGAATATCTAATACCCAAAAAGACTTCCCTGAGGCACCGATTGCCAATGGGAGATCAGGGCTTCATTGATTTTGTTGCTCATTTGCTTGAAGTCAATCCAAAGAAGCGTCCCTCTGCATCCGAGGCTCTGAAGCACCCTTGGCTGTCGTATCCATATGAACCGATATCAGCTTGATCTGGAACAGGTGGTTGGTCTGGTATTGGATTGAAGTTTGGGATCCTAATGAGGGAAGGAGCCGCACATGATTACTGACTGAGATTTGTTATCTATTTAAGGTTGGATTTGAAGCTGGTTTGCTCCATAAGCCTGCAGAATGCATTGAAAGGTATGTGCGATTTCTGCTGGTATATCTGTCTTTCTGTCCCCTTACTAAGTTGTATTTCATTTAATTATTATGATCAAGAATGTAATTTTGCACGCAGTGTTGTTAGGATTGTCCTTCGTCGCTGTGTTTAATGCGGTGAAAAAGGAATCTGAAATCCTGTTGTACATGATGTGTTATTCATTTAGGTATTTAGTAATAGCTTGTGAAATAGCTCCCTATCCAATTTTGATTGGCTTGTGACACGCAATTGTTGCGGTGTATCAAGTTTGGTGCAAGCCTAATGTTCAGGTTATTTTCTTCATGCATGTGTCTTGATTCTTATATGGCTGTAGGCTATTTCATGCAAATTGAAATGTTAAATTGGACAAATCAATTTGGTCTGGTTCACTTTGGGTTCTATTTGCACGTACACAGTTGATTTGGTTTCTAAACTAAAACTCGAACCTAGTGTTTTTTGTTTGGTATAGTTTTCAAAATTTTGAAACTGAACCAAATCCAAGAAACAAAATTAATTAACAAAAATAGTGCGACTAATATATTTTATCAATAATTATATGTTTTCTTAGTTTGTTATGTATTGAATGTTTTCTAATTGTGGATTTTTATGTCATTACCATACAGGGTTAAAATAAATATAATAAATATTAGAAGTTTTAAATTTTTAAATTGGTACTACAAACTTAAATTTTCTATCCCCCACAGTTTTTTAGGGTATGTGCCAAGAATCACAGCACTAATTTTCCTTGAATTTCACTGGAGAAAAGAGAATTTTTGAAATATCAAATTATTATAGGATTAAATTTCAAGACCACCTAAGTTATATATATATGTATATGTATATGTAATATGATTTTGCAGTTGCCATTGATTAATTGGAAGTAAGATCGACGCTGGCAAATTATGTATTGGTTGAAATTTGAAATGTTTGGTTTGAGAATAATACAGATTAGAGAGGTACAGAAGCACCTAACTTAATTATGTAAATTAATTAATGATGTAATTTGCATCTAAAAATTAAATGAAATTAAAAAAAAAAAACCCACCCTATTTTTGTTGTATCTATCATTTATAATCCATTGATTATAGTATTTAGTAATTTTTTAGAACAAGAAAATTAAGATATATGAAAAAAGAAAAGATAACACATTGTTGTCAAATCTTTGCAATATGGTAATTCCGATGTCTCTTTTTCCAAACCATCAATTTTGTTTTCAATCTCCATATTTATTAACATAGATATTATTTTATATGCATAAGTTATAACATTATGCTATATCTATTATACCCAACATTCTTCAAAAATTTATATAAGAAAATATACAAGTACATTACCCTTAAATAAAATAATTTTCAAATGCTTTATTCATAAATCATAAACAACTAGGTGTCATTCTCCTTACACTCTTTTGTATTGTATTGAAAGAAAGTAGAAAGGTTTTCGAAGAGATGAATGAAGAATTTGATAGAGTTAGAGATAGATAACATCAACTCTTCAATTTTTTTTTTTTTGTTACTAGTAATTATTTATATACTAAAAAAGATAGAATTAAAGATAGATATCATCAACTCTTAAGTTTTTTTATTACTAATAATTATTTATATACTAAGAAAGATTTTAGTAATCTTATCGAAATACTTATTGATATACAAATTTTTTTTTGTATACGAATTGATATCTTTATAATTAATGAATACATCTTATACTTTCTATTTAAAAAAAAAACAATTATTGCAGAAAGAAAAAGATTGAGTAACCTAAAAAAATCTTAGAACAACATGATCATCTTCCGAAAGCAAGCTTCAAATATTTCTGAAACTTCTACATTGAAAAGTGTTTACCCTTTTGGAAGTAGGACAAATTAAATGTCTTTTGACATTTTCTTTTAAGTTTTTCATCCCTCCAAAATTTATTAGGGTACAGTATAGGATTCCTTAAACAAAAAATTAATTATCAATATGTACATAACTCCCAACATCATTTTTTAATTATTAATTAACTTATAATGTTTTATAAATAAAATTCATATAAATCTTAAAAATAAAAAATAATTAAAGGTAACATACAAAGCCCTACCTTCCCCTTCTCTTCTCCTGGTATCTGATCAACTTCAAAGTCCTACCCTCCTAAGATGAAAGAAAGTTTAAAGATCTTGCACATGTTCTACATCATGTTCCAATAGAATTCAAATCCATAATGACAATTTTTTCTATAGAATTTACAGATTCAATAAGCAAAGGAATTGATTCAAATGACAACAGGACAAATTCACTCAAAAATCAAAGTGGAAAAAATGATGGAAGTATACCGTTCGTTCCAAAGACTGACTTATATCAACTGATATTTTTCTAAATACTACTAACAGAACTCCCATCTCTCTGCCACTAAAAATTTCTGACCTGCCTAAAAATCCAATTGGGGATGGCCACCAAGGTGAGATCTATGTGCTGATTGAACATACCAGGTACAGTGGCCCTGTTTCTTGATGATAAGAGAATTATTTCATCAACCCTTTCAATTCCAAGTCAGTTTCCCTTAACCCTTCAGCTAAGCTCATGCAAAATGTTATTTTCCCAAGTAATTCCAATGCCCAGTACTATCAAATTTTGTGTTGTTTATGTCAAGTGAAAACTTCAGGTTGCAGATGTTTCCCTCTCAGTTGGCCACATCAAATTATCAGATAGAAGGCAACGTGTAATTCTTTCCACCAGGTAGATTCCAAATGGACCATAAAACAATTGGTACTTTCCCCTGCCGGCCAAAATGACAACCTCTCCACCTGGAGAATAGAACTAGAGTTTGCAAATGCAAAGCAAGAAGAAGAATTCAGGTGGATCTTTCCGTACCATCTGGTGCTTCCGGTGGGGGATCTGAAGCTTCTGCAAGTGCTTCAAGCATATTTACAACCTCAGTTGTGTCATCCAAATAGTATTTTGCTTTGCTTGGTTTCTGCCCAACTGTGCAAGCAAAGACTGATGTATTAGAGGATAGCACGCCACTTGTTATCGCATTGCCAATGATCTCAAACATGTCCTCATCGGATCTGTCATCACCGATACAAAGTACAAAATCAGCTTGCCTCCCATTATCAGCCATTGATGTAAAGATCTTTTCTGCAACCAAACCTTTACTGACTCCCTGAAATCCACAGTAAAAATTTGATTTATGAATCGCATAAAATGTTAAATGAAGACACTTAACTAAATTCAGTAACTTTAGACACGATGGTAAAACATGAGTATCAACGCCTGTTAGCTAATTGCCAAAGATTAATGGCTTTCTCCTTGCATCAATAAGAGAATATAATTTTAATTATAAATCTATTTCACATCAATGATTGGCTTAACATCCATCAAGAAACATTTATGATTCTGCACCCTTGGCTTGAGTGCAGATTGTATAAGATATTTCTGACCTAATTACCTCCTATTGTTAATATTACAAATGGGACAGCCAGACTAACTTTTTCACTTTCCAACAAGAGTCATGTGAGCTACGTCAAGCCTCTCTGTACTAAATAAAGCAGATAAAAGTCGGGACCTTTTCCCTTTTTTTTGGCTAGATTAAGGTTTGGTAATATGAAACAATTAGCATGGACAAAACAATATGATAAGGTCAAAAATAAGAACTGACTAGCATATAAAATAATTGAAATGAAACACGTTTATCCTAAAAAAAAAATGGAGGGAAAAGAAGTTCTTAACAAAATAAATATATTTTTTTTAAAATAAACTTAACAAAATAAATATCATATCCTGAAGTACCCTCACATCCCTCCCCTTCATCAGCCCTTTCTCCAATCTTCTCATGTGGGATCAAATTATTGTTTTTACCCTCAACTCTAATGTTCATTCTTTTTCAGTGGACTTTAACTTTGTTAAAATTTGTGATGTTAATTTAATTTTAATAATTTATATTTTTATTGAAAAGACATTTATTAATAATTATTATTAGCATATTAATTAATTAATCATAAATCAATTTTATATTAAATTAAAAGAATAAAAACATGATGGTATGGAAGAAAACGTATCATGTTCATCCTATTTTATAAATCCACCAAGCACAAACAAGTAATCAAGCAATGTTGAACACATGAAAGCCAAAAGTCAGTCTGCTGTGGTTCTCTAGTTTTCATGGCCAACCTTTGTCAAATGCCAAGATTTACAGATACATGTTCTTCCACCGTTAGTTATTGAGAGAGGAATGCTTCAATTGTCAACTTAATTGGCAGGAAATCATGGTCGTATGTAAAATATTCA